GCTTGGCCTGCTGTGTTCATCCAGCTGTACACCTTGTTATCTCAAATGTAGTAAACCAGTAACAAAGATGGTAACAGTAAAGAAGATATTAACAAATGTGGTAGATTGAGTTTAAGGTACAGAAGAAGGAAGAGAGCCAAATAAAGCAAATAGCACAATTTTAAATGGGGTGCAGATAGACAGGGAGTCTCTGTGCAAAGGTCTGGAATATTCTACGTAACAGTTTAAGATCACTATTAAAAGGACATATAGAATCCTTTGCTTTGCAATGTTGCAACCAAGGCAGGAGAAGTACATCATCACTCAGTCCCACTATCCATGGATCACATCATAAAGTAAAAATAGTTTTCCATTAAATACCTCATCTATGTCTGATTTTAAATAATAAGATCTATCAACCAGATTTCTTAACACAATCATGAATATATTATCAAAAATTATTCAATGAAGATGCAATAACTGGTTAGCATACACAGTAACACAAAAGTATAAATATTCCCAAAACACACATGCAAGTGCACACCATGCTCTTTAGGAAAATGGGGGAATAAAACAGATTTCTGTACAAAAAAAGGGTTTCGGAAAAGAAAAAGAAAAATCAATAATTTGTTTTTGAGAGGGAAAGGCTAAAGCACAGAGTATTTTAGAGCCTGTTGCTGTGATATTCTTGCACGTGACCAATTCACAAAACATGCACCGCTGTCTCAAATCTTACAAACATGCTTACTCAGAAAATGCAATTGTGAGAAGTTTCTTCAATCATTCTTTCAAAAAAAAACAATAATTTTCACCCTAAATTCAGCAGTGTTTTCTTTTCAGAAACAGAGAGAGCTTATTCTTAGGAGTCTTTCCTCCAATTTAACTAGATAAAACAGATGCCTCTCCATGCCAATCACTGAATAAGAACAACCCAGCAGGGGTTTACAGCAAAGCAAACTGTCATCAGCATTCATATGATTTACAGGAAGCCATGCTTAACAGGCAGTCAAGGAAAGTGTCCAATCGAAAACCAAGACATACAAAGCGGCATATACTAAAGTGATTTTGTTGAATGATGAGAAGGTTTGAGGGACTGAATGGCCATTTTCTGCTCCTATTTCTCATATTCTTGCGAAGAAGGTTTGATGGGTAGAAGACAATATTTAAGGTAATAAAACAGAAAGAACTGCGGATGCTGTAAATCAGGAACAAAACCAAAGTTGCTGGAAAAGCTCAGCAGGTCTGGCAGCATCTGTGAAGGAGAAAACAGATTTAACTCCGGTGACCCTTCCTCAGAACTGGAACCTGAAACGTTAACTCTATTTTTTCCTTCACAGATGCTGCCAGACCTGTTGAGCTTTTCCAGCAACATTGGTTTTGTACAATATTTAAGGTTACTGACGAAGAACCAAAGGCAAGATATCGAAAAACATTTAGTTATGCTGTAGAATGCTGTGCACGAAAGAGTGATCAAAGCTGATTGAATAGTAACTTACCAAAAAGAATTGGATAAATGCTTGAAATGGTTAAAACAGATTGCTTCCCCATAATCCAGCAATGAGATGGGACTTATTGGATAGCTGATTCAACGTACTGGCACTGACGTGAGGGGCCAAATAATTTCCTGTTTACTGGATCATCATATGGATTCTTTATCATCAGTTATTGGTAATATTCAATATTGTGGTCATGTAGCCTCACACTGAGTTTGCAAAAAGTTAGTTACAGCATCAGTGGTTTACTGACTGGAGGCTGACCACTTTTCCACAGGGATTCATAGAAAACCACAGAGTTTCATTGCTGGCCTCTCTTTCCTGTAGCTCCTAACAAGACATTAAGTGAGTGTATGAACCTTTAATGAGGAGAAACTGGAGAACAAGCAAAGGAAGAATATTAAATGATTGTTTTTTTAAATGGTAGAAGCATCACTGCAGTTAGAACGCACTGGTCTCCAATTCTTATTCTTTCCTGTAGGTATGAGGTACGTTTCCAGAATGAAATCCAATGTGGGGGTGCATACCTAAAGCTTCTCTCTGAAGATGATCAACTCGACCTGGTAAGTTGTCCCGTTGAGAAGCTCAACATCCATTTTGTGGGCACTGTAGTGCGAAACATGTTATTACTGAAGGCAACTGGGCACTGATTGAAAAACAGCATCTGCATTAAATATTTCATTACTTGACTGGTGTATCTCTAGCTGTATTGTTTCAATGGATTTTCTTTTTCTACATTAAGAGTACCAAGTAATGCAAGTCGTTGTGCCGGCAGTGGCAGTAGCACAAGTAGAATTAGCTTAGTATCCCAGAGTCCTCTGGTGTAAACAGCACGAGTGTAAAACCTGAGGAATTTCTTTCACCAAGGTTGTGACTTCTGTGATTTTTTTTTTTTCGACAAGACAGGTACACAATTTTGCACTTTGTTTTGGAGATGCTAGTGTTGTAGCTGTACTGGAACATCTTGGCTAAAGCTCAGCTAGGTCTGGTGCAGAAGCCTTTAGCATTATAGCTATGATGCTGTTAGAGCCCATAGCCTTTGCTGTATTTAGTGTGCTCAGCAATTTCTCTGTCACGTGAAGTGAATCAAAGTGGTTGAAGACTGGTATCTGTGATGTTGGAGATCTCAAGAAAGAGACCAATATGGAACATCCAGTCAGCAAGAAAGGTTATGACTCATGTAATGAAGTAGTCTCACAGTGCAGTAACCATTCAACTGATAAAACCAGAGTTTATCAAACTCCAGACTGTTAGTCAATGATTACAGGAAATATGGGATTGTGGCATTTGGTAATTAATGATTCTTGGATTGTTAGTTGATGATTACTTTGATCTCAGATTGCATTGATAAGTCTTTACCCATCAACCCCAAACTCAATCTAAATTGTTATGTAGAATTACGACTGTGCTAAATGGGATAAATCCAGAACTTTTCTAGGAACTCAAAACTGGGATTCATGAATTGTACAACTGTACTTCTCCACAATCTGTAACCTCAATATCCAGCATATCCCCCTCTCTGCCATTACCTTCAAACAAAGGGATCAACCCTGGATCAATGAAGAGTGGAAAACATCAGGAGCAGCAAGTGGTATTATCGCTGGACTATTAATCCAGAGACCCACATAATGTTCTGGGGACCCAGGTTCAAATCCTGCCACGGCAGATGGTGGAATTTGAATTCAATAAAATATATGGAACTAAGAATCTAATGATAATAATGACCGTAAACCCATTGTCGATTGTTGGAAAAACCCATCTGGTTCACTAATATCCTTTAAGGAAGGGAACTGCCATCCTTACCTGGTCTGGCCTACATGTGACCCCAGACCCACAGCAATGTGGTTGACTCTTAACTGCCCCCTGGGCAATTAGGGATGGGCAATAAATGCTTCCTGGCCCTCATCCTGAGAATGAATAAAGAAAAAAAAAGGCATATCTATAACTGTAGTGTCAACCTGGTGAGATTATATCGTGGGAACTACATGCATGCTTAAACAGTGCAGCAACTTGTGGGATCATTTAGTTCTATCAATACAACCGACCGATCAGATCAAAACTCTGCAGTCCTGCTACATCCAGTGATGAATGATGGTGAACAAATAACAAATAATGAGAGAGAGCTCCACAAACATCCTTGTATTCAATGATAGGGGAATCACCATGTAATGACCTTAACCAGCCTAAAACATCTGCCAGATATCTTCAGCCAGAATTGTCAAGTAGATGTTCCATCTTGATCTCTTGAGGTTTTCAACTTTTTTTTTTTAAATTCATTCTCTGATGAGGGAAATGCAGGCTAGGCCAGCATTAACTGCCCAAAGGGCTGTTAAAAATCAGCTGCATTGCTATGGATCTGGAGTCCTATGTAGGCCAGACCAGATAAGGATGGCAGTTCCCTTCCCTAAAGAACAGCTGGGTTTTTCCAATAATCAACAATGGATTCATGGTCATTGTTTAAACTCAAATTCTACCATCTGCTATGGCAGGATTTGAACCTAGGTCCCCAGAACAATGCTTGGTCTCTGGATTAACAGTCCAGCGATAATACCACTAGGCCGTCATCTCTCAAACTTCAAGATGTTAATCTTCAACTAATCTGATTCACATCACGTGATATCAGCATTCTGCCGGGCACACTAGATAAGAACAAATAGATTTCATCTTGAACTGGCTAGAGGATTTCATTTTCAGAAATGAGAAGTCAGTTAATCACCTTGTACCTCCAACTCAACTGCTTTCTTTTTGCATGCTTTCCTCCAAATTAACTAGTTAAAACAAGAACTTCTCTAAACCAGAAGAAAGCAGGATCTACAGCAAAGAAGCAGTCTTCACCAGTCATGTGATTTCTAGGATGGCTTGAAGAAAATCCCCACTGTCTGCAGTATACTTTCAACTACCGCTTTTAAAGAAACCATTCCAACAATGTCCACAAAAATTAAAATATATTGCTTTTCACAATCCTTTAAAACTTAAGTCCTTCAAGGATGTTAAATATAAGGTGTGTTTGTAATAGAAGTGATACTTAACACAAAGAAGATGTTGAGGGTACTGGAGATAATCATCTCAATCCCAGGACATTACTTCAAGAGTTCCTCTGCATTATGTCTTAGCTCTAGCCACTTTCAGCTACTTGATCAATGCCCTTCCCTCCATCGTTTGATCTGAAGTGGGACGTTTGCATTGTTCTGTTTGTAATTCCTCTGATACTGAATCAGCCCATGCATGTATGCAGCAAAGCCAGGATAACATTCAGGATTCAGTTGACAAACAATATTTGTGCCATGGAGACAGTAAGGACTGCAGATGTGGAAGCTAGAGTCAATAAATGTGGAGCTGGAAAAGCACAGCAGGTCAGACAGCATCCAAGGAGCAGGAAAGACAAGGTTCTGAGCCGAAACCCTTCAACAGGACTCAGGAGGGGGAGGGGTTGGGACTTGGGGGAATAACCGGGGTGGGGGTTGCAGTGGGAGAGAGACTCACTGAGCCCTCGTCGGAGGGAGCAGGAAAACTTCTTCAAGGTGTACATCGTTGGCACATGATCTAACCATCTTCCTCAACATGCAATTGCATTATCATTTCTGAAAGCCACACAGCATACATCTTGGAATTACCATTCTTCAGAAACCTAACTGGGCCACCACTATAAAGATTGTAATTACTAGAATGTTAGAGGTTGAGCATTCTACAATGAAAACTCATCGTCTGACACCCCAAAGCCTTTTCACAATATGAAAGGCACAGTCAAGATAGTGATGAAATTATACCCCATTTACTTGAAGGAATGCGGCTTCAACAACACTCAAAGCTCAACACCACACAGGACAAATGTTGATGGACACCTCATCCACTACCTTCATCATTCAGTCCCTTTTTAGCCTCCACATCCTGGCAGTGAAGATGCACTGTAGAAACTTACCAAAGCTCCTTGCCCGTGTTGCATGTGTATGGAAACACTATTTCCTTTAAGTTCTCCGCTGTGTTATGTCACAGCTCGACTTAGAAATGCATCACCTAACAATGCTGTTCAGTACTTGAAACATGGAGGAGGCAGCAGTTCAGAGAGACTGCTCATTCCCATTCTCCAAGACAATTAGACATTGCCAATAAAGCTTGCTTTTATTATCTATGCTCACATCCCATAAATAAATGAAAAATAGATGGTTAATGTCAGTTCCACAGTATCAATAATTATCATTAATCATAGATTACATCAATAGATGATTATTAATACTGACCTCTAACAATGTTTAATGTTTCCAGTTATTCTAGACTGTGAATCATTGATTGCCATTGATATCGTACATCTTCAGGGAGCAGATGGGTACCAGCTTGATACTGAGTCAGGAGCACAGTTTAAAATAGTTTGAATAGGTTCTAAACATGGATGATTTGAATGACTCGCTTGTGTGTTTCTTTTTATAAGTTTTAACACTGTTTTTACAGAGGCAGTTCTTTGACAAAACCCCTTACACTATCATGTTTGGACCAGACAAGTGCGGACAGGACTATAAACTGCACTTCATCTTCAGACATAGGGATCCAGTGACGGGTGCATATGAAGAGAAGCATGCCAGGAAACCAGAAGTGGACCTTCAGAGTTACTTCATCGACAAAAGACCTCACCTGTATACATTGAGTAACACAATTCTCTTAATCATTCTAGAGCAATCAGAAACAGGTCCACAAGAGGGATGACAATCTTTAAGGGAGTACCCTCAATGGGTTAGGATTAGAGTGAAACTTGCAGGCTTCGTTTGTGAGATAGTAATCATTAAATAATGAAATAGTTCATTAACAAACAACACGGAACAGGCAAATTGACTAATCCAAACACATTTGAATATAGCAACTGAATAATCTAGCAACCCTCTATTAGACATCTAATGATAAAAATAATAAACTGTATAGTAATATTAAAAGGTGTGTTTAGACAGTCTGCAGAGCTAACCTTCTTATAGCAAGTTTACATTACGTAACAGGTACCAAAACTCGCTACATTGATTTATTTTCATCTGCGTTAGTTATTATACATTAGTAAATTTTTATTTTAATATTATACAGTATAATTGCTGTACTTGAAATTACTTCTCTCTTTGACTTATTCTCTTTTATCTCTCTCTTTCTCTCTCTACGTCCAATAACAATTTAAAAATGATTGGTTTAGTTGTGAGACCTGACAACAGTTTTGAGATACTAATAGATGAGAACAGTGTGAGCAAAGGAAGCCTCCTACAAGACATGACTCCCCCTGTCAATCCTCCCAACGAGATTGATGATCCCAACCATCAAAAACCTGAAGACTGGGATGACAGACGTCGGATACCTAACCCAGATTCAGTGAAGCCCCATGACTGGTGAGAATTAAGCAAGATCAGGTTTGGTTAAAAATTTTTGTTTGTATTTACTGTTGTCTCTATGTACACCAAAACCATTTCTGGCACCAATATTAGAATTTATCGTGAATTCAAAGTCAACAAGCTAAGCCCAGTAGTAGAGACCACAAATGGATTTCTATCCTCTCAGGAGAACAACACTTGAATTGTGACATACCTCTCTCAGACTATAGTGATCGTCAGAAAGTAGGACTCCCATCAAGTCGAGAGTACTGTTGAATTGACACCACAATCCTTCATGCTTGAGACCACTGCGAGTCGAGGAAAAACAATTAGCCCAAGACCATTAGGAAATTCAGAGCTAACCCCTCCACCCTAAAATAAAGGAACACTCTTCTCCCAACGCTACACACCAATGTGGAACACAGAAACAATAGAGAGCATCAATTTGAATACAGTGACATAACTCTTCCTAACAGAGTCCAGCAGCACACTCAAAGGCTACCCTCCGCTGACATTAAGGCCACAAGTGAATAGACGTGAACAATCAGGAAATACAGAGATCCTTCTGCCAACACCAGCGATCACAAGTAAATATAGAAACCACCTCCTTCAACAGTAAAGATTGAATACAGAAACAACCTTCCACAATACAATTTTCAAATGACTGTTTGCAGTTTCTGCTGGCACTAGTGGAGTCCCAGCCAAAGAGCTCAATCTCAGTCAGAAGGATAGTGGAAAAATCATAATTATCTTGCTGATCTTAACTGAAATGCAGTCAATTCAGAAAGAGATTCCTGATGAGAATCCAGAAGCTCCTGGTTCAAGTTCATACATTGGGTATGAACCTGCAGGATCTCAGCTGTATTTCCTCCTCTAGTCACACATCTTCTATTACTGAAGTTGGGTGTCAACTTTGAAAAGAAAGTTGATTGGGAAGAAAGGAAGCACTGTTTATGATCTTCCTGTCCAACTGATTTCAAACTCCTCACCTGGGTCCTTGGGTCTGTGTAAAGTCTGGAATAGTTAATATTGGCTGTATTTCATTTACAGTCCCCCATGTTTGTTGTGTAACTTGTATGAAGATATATCAGATATTCTTGTGTGCAGATGCTAAAGGATGTCATCATTCCCTCCATGACAGGGATGAGGATGCTCCTCCCTATATTCCGGATTCCACAGTTATGAAACCGGATGACTGGCTAGATGAAGAGCCAGAATATATTCCAGATCCCAAATCAAAAAAACCTCCAGATTGGTAAGTTATGAATTACTTCAGATTGATTATAGATTTCAGATAGCCTCATTGACTAGGCAGTGATTGTAGTTACACTGACCTTTGGTGCACATCTGTCCTTCATCACATGTATGGTATTTGCTACAACCTTTCTGATATTCTTTTGTATATCCCAGCTTTCACTGTAACGTTCTCTGATACATCCAATTACTCACTGGAACATTCTTTCATACATTCCTTGCCTCTCATTGTAATACTGTTTCATCTACCCCACAAAACTCATCGATATAACCTTCATTCCTCACTATAAGAGAGCGCATGTTGGGTTATGCTAACCCACGCGTGCCTGATCTCAGAATCCTTGATAATGATACAACCCCAGCAAAGACTTTGTTCACTTTGAACAAATGATATTTGTAACACATACAAGTTTAAAATTACAATTAATTCAAAGTAACGTGTACCCAAAGTTCTGTCTGGAATTGTTTTAATATCAATATAATATTATTGTATTTTACAGGGATATTGATATGGATGGTGAATGGGAAGAACCCAAAATCCCAAACCCAAAGTGTAAGACTGCAGGCTGTGGAACCTGGAAACCACCCATGATCCCTAACCCTGCCTACAAAGGCAAATGGAAAGTACCAATGATTGACAATCCCAAATACAAGGTAAATTAATTGATGTTATAGTCTTTCTTACATAGCTGATATTTAAACTTCCCTTCTAATTCTCAGAATGGATTCTTGGCAAATACATCACATGTGAAATTCCAGAATATCTTTCGTGAGTTTGAGTCCCTGCAGAGTTAGCTGATCTCAGTTTAGCATAGCTTTGAGTTTGGGTTTGATATGTACTCTTGGTGCTGTTGGATTAGATAAATTAAAACTACCACAATTGTAGTCGAGACTCATTGAAATGTGCACGTACAGCGCTTCAGATTTGATCAAGGTATTCTACACGGTCAAATCGCTGAGAGACATTCACGGGGGCACATGTGAAGAGTGAACATTTGGATTAGATACTGAAGAACAACCAGTCCCTCAGAATCAAACAGTAGTGACCACCAGAAGTGTTTTCACATAAGAAAGTGGAAATTTGACAGAAATAAATTGCAGCAAACTTTGTTTTAACCAACGCTTTATGAACCGACCCCCCCCTCAACAAACCAGCAAAAATTTTATATACCTCAAATACTGGAAGTTTACTGTATTATTGCAATTTCCGCAGTATTCAAGTAGTTAGTTGAGGGTGCAAGTGAAAGGGCTGTCTACCAGTTATCTTTATTTAAGGCATTACTATTTAAGTGATCTATGCTGTAAATAAAGTAATTCAGTGATGTGTATACTCCCTGCATTATGTTTCTATTATTTAGTGTGTTTTTATATTGATCAAACAGAATATTGATTAACTGGTACACTCCTGGTCTCATAGGTGCCAGTTAATAAAACGTTTGCTGCATATAGGGAGATGGACTTAGCTGTGTATTAAGGGAGAAGTTGTACCATATGATGGGTGTGGTTTTTAATCATTAGACTCAAATTGTGTAAGATAACAGACACAGCTTTGTTTAATTCTTAAATAATTTGCCATTAAACATAGATTGTAAGAAGCAGGTCATTTAAATTACTCAATACCAGACCTTTCTACATTTCTTGCGCTCACCCTGATTCACAAGACTACTTACTTTTATCTAAATTACTTGATTGGCCTGTCCATGACAAGAACCAACAACGATTGCCTACTTACTGCATGCTTGGAACTTGGTGATTGTAGTTACACATTATAGAAAAACTTACCATCTTGATTTTAAAATGTAATTCTGTAACAATTCTTCTCTGCAACATACTTTTCTCTATAACAATCTGCTTCTCACACCCTCCATTCTGAAACTCAGCTGTTTATTACATAGAGCAGTGGAGGTAACTCACTCTTCCCTTCTCATTAACTTACTTTTTAACATAGAATTCTATTTGTTTGTTGTAGTTTGCTGCCTCTCCATAGCATTTGCTTCTCTCTCTCTTTCTCCCTCTATTAATAACATAATTCAGAATCTAACTATCAAACTTGATTAATAGTTCTACCAATTTTGTCCCAAAAGGGAGTCTGGAAACCTAGAAAGATTCTGAATCCAAACTATTTTGAGGATACAAAGCCATTCCGCATGACTCCAGTTGCTGCAATTGGGCTTGAGCTATGGTCTCTGACCCCTGACATAATGTTTGACAATTTTATTATATCCTCTGATGAGAGAGTTGTCAAGCAGTGGGCAAAAGACACATGGGCACGAACAAAGGCAATCTACGATGCAGATGGAGTAAGTAGATTTGATGGCTATGTGCATATGATCAATGTGGGAAAAATCTTGTTTCATACCGCTGCATGATTGCACAAAAGATGACAGGTCGTGCAGATAATGAGCCTGCCCTGTCAAAGTACCTGAGGTACCACAACTCCTCCTTGGGTGTCTTCTGTAACTCGCGGCAGGAGTTCACTCTGACTGGGTCTGTACTGGGTTGCTACATGAAGATGATGATGATGGGCTTTAGAAAGTAGAGGTGAAAACTCCAAATACTTCAAAAGCTTAGGATGAGAGTGGCCCTCGCCACCTGGAAAATTTATGTTCCTTTCAGTGAGAGCTGCAATTCCAACCTTCCGGACCACTAGTTGTCCAGTGAGGCCATTCCTTGCCTTACATTTCCTCATTTGCATAAGTAGAAATCCTACCAGGATCCCACTCTCCATCTGCGATGAAGAAAATGCAGTGAGATAGATTCGGTAGGCTGGATAGGAGTTGTGCGACATCAAAACCCTGCTTGTGAGAGAAGATTTTCCCCCATTCACATGCCGTTGTGTAACTGGAGTGTTTATTGTGAGTGAGACGGTGAGTGTTTCTTTTATCAGTAACTGAGATAATTGCTACTCTACCCTGTTGTCCACAGCCTGGTTTGATCATGCAGCTGTTTTTGGCAGCAGACAAACGCCCTTGGCTCTGGGGAGTCTACGTGTTCACAGTTGCTCTGCCAGTTATTTTGTTCATAAGCTTCTATTGGCCAAATCAGGTATGTCTGTTGAACAATTGTGTATTTCTTAGTAGAGGATTGTTGTAAGAATTAAATATCTAAAGTAAAAATAATCCCTCTGTTTAAATTGCTGTTTTGTTTCTATTCTGCATTCTGTAACTTTTCTGCATGCTCTTGTCCTGTGATGCTTCCTCTGTCCCATACTTTCATGTGCTAACCCCTCTTGCTCCATATTTTTGTGTATCTCCAGCTCCATCCTATAATATCCTGTTGTAACATGTTATTTTGCCATGTTGTAGTGTCATGTGCTATCATTTGTTCTCCCAGCGATTTGGGCCCCCTGATGATTATTATTACAAGAAGACAGATGATGTGCAGCTCAATGATGAAGAAAAAATAACAGAAGCACAGCCTCCAGAGTCAGGTAAGCTAAACAGCAATAATAACAATGGTGATAGAATACAGTATACCTTGTACAACTTCCAAGATTCCCTGTGTCACAGCTCAATATTGGCCAACCTTCTCTAACATTAACATTAACCACCTCATAATGGGGGTGGTAGCCTCAGCACCACTCTACCATTGATGCAGTGGTTTTGTTTTGAAAGGGGTGTACAAATTGTTACCTTGTCACAAATTGTCAGGTAATGGGGCTTTTTTAATAAGATATAGGCTGTTTTGGTTTGGAACTAGCCATCGGGTTTCATAAGTGATGGAAACTAGGAGGCCTGCTACAAGTAAATGTCCAATAATTTCTGTGGGTCTTGTAGGCAGAGGTACTCTTGTGTCTACAAAACAGTGAGTAGCTACTGATGCCCATCTTTTGTGATCACACCCTTGCGTGAGAACAAAAATACCTATTACCACTCAATCCCCAGACTGCCAACACTCATTACAGTGATTGTTTAGACAAAGCATCAGTGCTGCTTGGACACTTGGAACCAGAACCTGGTTAGTGCTTAGTATAGAAGAGGCAAATTTGGAGACAAAGTATAGAAAGTTGACCAAAGTAATAACATTATTGTAGATTCCACCTGAACAATTTGATGGCGGCACCAGATGTCAAGAAATGGTCCACATTTTTAAAAAATGCTATGTGTGCTCTAACAGTTACACTGCCCCAGTGGGAGGTGGCACAAACAACATATGACAATGGTTGTCGCTTCTTTTCCGTTGTGAGGAAGCACCTGATCTCTTCTTGGATATGCTGCCAGACAGTGCAGTTGATATTAGAACATATTGTAGGGGAAATCTGACCAAAACAACTTCTTTTTCAATAGACTGTTCAATGTACATTCCACACAGTACACAACTGTTAGGTCAGTTTGTGGGAATGATTCTTGTCTGTGGTTTTTCTGCTTCATAGTCCCACAAGGTATTGAGTATGTATCTGACAGTGAAGCTCAGCTGAAAAGAAAACCCTTATCATTAATGAATATTTACTCAAAATTTTAGGAATTTAATGGCTCTGTTATATGGCATGCAAGTTGACTGAAAAATGGATTCCTATTTAAAATAAAAATCAACTGATAGTGTCCACTTTACAGGCAGTCCATTCAAGAGATGACAGCTCTAGCTTGAATAATATTTAATAATAATTAATTATCCGTATTTTACAGCTCTTCATGATCAACGAGGAAATGTCGATAAAAGCAAAGAGAGGATGAAAGGAAGTAACCTGCTTAAAACAAAAGTAGACTTGGAGACATCTTCACAGGTTGGAAGTTTTGGCATCTTTTTAGTATCATAAATAGGACAGATGTTTTTACTTTGTCCAAACTTTTTTAAAGCAAGAACATGTGTTGCCCATAGTATTTTCCAGCACAAGATTAGCTTTAAAAGAAAATTTTCCAATTCTGGAATAATGCTGGTATAAACATGGCTAATAGCCAGAGAAAGATTTTTCTTTAGAAAGTTTTAAAATCTTGGGAAAGAGGAAGAGTAATCAATCCACAATCAATTGCACTGCATTCAAGGAATGTACTATGGGAACATCTAGCAAATCTAGACAAACAGTATTCCTAGCAGGGCTCAAAATACACAAGGAAGCAAGTGAGTTTACTTCTGACAGCCATAAAAGACACCTGACAAAATTCAAACACCGAGGCAATGGAGAAAACTTGTCCCCATAAATTGAATAGACAAAAAAATATGGGGAGCTGCTCCTGTATTAGCAGCAAACACTAGAGAGCATCCGCCTTTAATCAGGGAAACATATGGGAAACAAAAACAAAGTTGCTGGAAAAGCTCAGCAGGTCTGGCAGCATCTGCGAAGAAGAAAACAGAGTTAACATTTCGGGGCCATTGACCCTGCCTCAGAACTGATGGTGGCTGGGAAAACGTCAATTTATATGCAGAAAATAGGGAGGTGGGTGGGGTAGGGAGTAAACAATAGGATAGAGCCCAAAGAGAGAGAGAGACGGTTAGACAGATAAAGGAGTTGCTAATGATCAGGCTGGGAGGGTGAGTAGTTGTTAATGGGGACTGTTAGTGACTAACAACAGGGGGTGTGTAATGGCAGGCTATGTGGTAACAAGGCCTGGTGTGTGGGGTGGGGTGGGGTGGGGTGGGGGGCTGGGACATGGGAGAGTTTAGGCCCTAAAATTTTTGAACTCCATATTGAGTCCGGAGGGCTGTAGGGTCCCCAAGCGGAAAATGAGGTGTTGTTCTTCCAGCTTGCGTTGGGCTTCACTGGAACACTGCAGCAAGCCAGAGACAGAGACGTTGGCCAGGGAGCAGGGTGGTGCATTGAAGTGGCAGGCGACAGGTAGTTCAGGGTCTTTTTTGAGGGCAGAACGTAGATGTTCTGCAAAGCAGTCGCCAAGTCTACGCCAGGCCTTGTTACCACATAGCCTGCCATTACACACTCACTGTTGTTAGTCACTAACAGTCCCCATTAACAATTATTCACCCTCCCAGCCTGATTATTAGCAACTCCTTTGTCTGCTTTGTCTGTCCTCTCTTTGGGCTCTATCCTATCGTTTACTCCCTACCCCACCCACCTCCCTATTTTCTGCATATAAACTGACGTTATCCCAGCCACCATCAGTTCTGAGGAGGGGTCACCGGACCCGAAACGTTAACTCTGTTTTCTCCTTCGCCGATGCTGCCAAACCTGCTGAGCTTTTCCAGCAACTTTGTTTTTGTCCTGATTTACAGTATCCACAGTACTTTTGGTTTTTAAACATATGGGAAAGTTGCGGTGACAATATTGCAGGAGCTGTTGTTAATAAGGTCTGATGTAGGTCCGAGAACCATGTCACAGTCAAGCTATAAACAGCTCGGTGCTAGATAATTGTTTTGATTGATATTGGCTGAAGAGTAAATGTTGGGCAGAACAAGGGGATAAATCCTCTTAAAATTATAACGTGGGATTTTTGCTTCTGTGCGAGGCAGACAGGGTCTTGGTTTAACATCTTATTTGAAAATGATACCTCCAACAATTAATGTTCCCTCTGAGCTCATCAGCTGTGCAAAAACCTGGAGGTTCCTATGCAGGCTGAGCAAAAATCTGCCCTTCAAGTAACATGTACGCACAAAAAAAATGTAAAGGGCCCATCTACTTAAATGTACAAAAAACTGTTGCTCACTTGTGGTAAAATGTCAGCTGCTGACATTTTATTATCAAGTCTCAAGTGAGGCTTGAAACTATGTGTCTATTGCAGAGGTGATACTACCACCACTGAGCCACAGTTACATTAGAACCGCTTCTAATTAGTGCATAGACTCGTGAACAAATATTAATTTACAAGTGTTCCTTCTCCTAAAATCAATAACCCCAACTACTGCGGTATATTAAGAGTACTGGCCACAAATGAGGACAGCATTCTTGATTTCCTGAAAATCAACTGCATGGTTTGCGAGTTTTCACAATTGCTGCTTATTCCTGAGAAGTGAGTAGACAATGCAGTGTGTTTGTACATTCCAGTAACTGAGCAGATGTGGATATACAATTAAGTTTACATAAGTAGTATAGAACAAGATGCTTATGGAATTAATTCTGGTTGCAGGCACAAGGAGGCGGTGAACCAGATCCAGGTCAGGTTTCAGAGGAGGCTCTGAGATATCGCAAGACAACGTCAAAATAATGACCACCGGGTTTCATGCTGTTTGAAAAGATGAACTTTCACATAAGGCACTCATTTGTTTAACAAGAGCCTTTGAGACATAACTGTTTGTTAGTGATGCATATTGTGCAGCAGACATTGGAGGAAGATCCTCTTTTTAAATTTGTAACATTATAATAAGTGTTTTAATATTCATAATTTGTAAGTTTACTATACATAATGGACAGATGGATTTCTTCCACTTATAGTGATAAAATAAAGTACCTTTTGTATTCTCTGGAATGAGAGATGCATTTTTTAAAATTTTGGGTAATAAGAATTAGTAGGTAATTTTCGGGTAAGATTTTTGAACAGCTTATCATAGTTCACAGAATCCCTACAGAGTGGAAACAGGCCCTTCGGCCCAACAAGTCTACAACGACCCTCAGAGCACCCACCCAAACCCATCCCCCTCTAAACCACCTAATCAACACATCCCTGAACACTACGGGCAATTTAACATGGCCAATCCACCTAGCCTGCACATCTTTGGACTGTGGGAGGAACCCGGAGGAAACCTATGCAGACAGTCGCCCAAGGGTGGAATTGAAAGCGGGTCCCTGGTGCTGTGAGGCAGCAGTGCTAACCACTGTGCCACCATGTCCTGCTCCATTATGCTCTTCAATATTCTGTATCCTAGGCAATATTGTTTCTTCTCCTGCAATAAACTAGACTTCATCTGCCAGTGAAGCCATCTGAATTAAATTGAGAGCATCATCTTAAATATAAATTAACAACAAGATGATTTTTGTCAAGTCTTCCTTGTTTTCATGTACTTGTCTCTAATTATGTCATCAGGATGTGGGCAAGATAGCATTTTATTACCCCACATTAGCTGCCTATAATGACGTTACAAATTTACAACTTTACTACCATAACCATCTCACATTTGCCCCTCCTGCAAATAATGCAATATTTCTTAAGAGAACTGAATGTTTTAATAAAACAATCTTTTCAGCTTATGAAGCAACAAACTTCATAATGATCAATTACTATTGAAAAGAGACACGTTGCTGAGAACTTTTGTCTCGCACTAATCTGGACAAACAATGTTAAATTTCAAATGATCACAATAGGACAAAAGCTTGCTAATTGACCGAGGCATTGCCATAGATCAATTTAGAAAACAATCAAAAAAAGCAACAAGGAATCAACTGGACTAGCAATTCAGAGGGTCCTGTAACAAGTAGCTCCTGCCTTACAAAGCCTGCCTAATACCTACAAAGCACAAGTTAAGAGTGTGATGGAATACTCTCCACTTACCTGCATGACTGCAGTGCTATCAAGACACGAAGCTCAACATTACCCAGCAAAACAACAACCCACACTATCCACAACCAAATACAGTGGGCAGCTCTGTGTACACAAGATGCACTGCAATAAATTACCTAGCCTGCTTCAACAGCACCTTCAAAAACTGCAACCTCCTCTACCTTTAAAGGACAATGGAAGGAGATGCATTGGAATATCACAGCCACACTGTACCTTAACTTTAGTGGTATTCCATCACTATCATTGAATCAAACTCCTGCCGCTGTCTTTGACACCATTGTAGGTGTACCTCCACCAGATGGACTAAAGCCATTGAAGAAGGCAGCACATCACAAATAGGGCAAATAGTGATGTGATAAATGCTGAACTTGCCAGCAATGTTTACACCTCATGAAAGATTAAAACCATGATCAGACAAAAATACCAGAGTTCAAAAGGACTAATGTCACCAGAATCTTCTCCATGTAAAGAAGTTTGAACATGTGGAACAGACTTCCAAGGGGGAAAATGAAAGCTGAATGCATGGTGGTGCTGCTTCAGAGGTCAGTGTTGGTAATTCTGCACCAGTGATTCAAAAGCTGGGCCAAAGTAAAAGCCTCTCTCATTGGCCCTTTTTTTTGGTAATCAGGAGATTTTTTAAAAAAAAGTCAGGGCAAGTTGCTGATCATCAACAATTATTTCAGAGCAAGAAAGAGTTTAAGAGTCATATTTCCTCTTTCCCAGTTGACATTTTTTTCTTGGTCTATAATCTGGGTATATGTGCATTGGGCTAATTGAGATCTAATATCTCTCAAATTAATCATCTAAACTGAATCCTATGATGCAAAATAAGATGTGAACACAAACATAATATCAGCATTAGGGTTTATTATTACATAATTAAATAGACTAAATACAAAAAAAGGTGCGCAAGCTGACTTGAGACAATAAGCTACGGGTTCTAACAGGGTTACACTCCTAATACTGGACAGTCGTGACTCCCAGTACCCTTTACTATTATTATTATTTGTCTGTCTTCTTGGAGCTTTTGGTTGGTCTGGAAAATAAAAAGGACACTTTTTATTGAAACTAATTTGTCATTTGTGGCAAATGGACTGAATGAATGCAATAATCTGGCTATCTGACCCTTTCACCTTTTTTGTTTCAATTGTTCCTGGTTTCATATCGGATATTAGGGACTACTATATGCGGTATGTGTGGGCCATAAAATATTCCGTGTCATACACCGACTTGGTCACCAGAAGTTGTTGGCTGTATAAATGCCTTTTGTTCAATATTTCAATTGAAAGCAAATAATTTTCAATTCAGAACATTTTTTAAAATGAGTTTATAAATTTTACTTCCAATTGCTAATGTTTTGAAAGCATTTTGTAAATCAATTCTGATCAACTTGCAATTATTAGGTCCTATCCTGTTATTCAGATCTTTGATTCTGTTTGTAAATTAGGAAGTAAATTCTAACAGTCCTCGATCTTGAGGTGAAAGGGTCAAATTAAGTTTTCACACATGAACACAACATGCAGATAACCCACTACACCTGTCGAGATATAAAGCTGACTGGTATCAGTGGCATGAGCTCCTTACTTTCTCTTGTTCTTTGAGTCTGTGGTTTGAAAGACGCTGGAGGCTGACATGAGGTTTTCAATGTACTGGCCAAGTACTTGGTTCTCAGATTTGAGTTTCAGGTTCTCCTCTTTCACAGCATCAACTCTGGCTGACAGATCTGAAATGCAGATGAAGTCATCAGCACAGAAGTGGAATACCCTTATTGAGCAGACCGCCAATGAGAAAGACTCAAATTAAACTAGATATGGAACACATCAAGGCAATTGCTTTTGGCAGGTTGGTGGATTTATGTTTCACATAATCCAGACATTATTGTATCCCCTTAACATGACCCAACCCTTCTAACATGACAACAATAAAGTGTAATGGCATCAGGGGATAGGAGCTTAAAGGGAAAAAAGGACCATCGTTTGCAAACGACACTGGCAGTTGCCCATCCATCTTCAGTTTCATTCTAAAAGATGCAGGAGTAAGGAATAATGAGTACATTAAATGTTTACAGAGGTAAATGATAAAAGTTGTGATGAAGTCCTTTTGTAAGCATTCCTTATGCTCAAAGTCAGCATTCTGTGAAAATGGCAACATCGTGAATATTCAGAGTTCCAGAGTGACTACATAGCATCATTGAATTCTGTCCTTCAATGGAGCAAGGTTTAATGTATGCGTTTTGATAGGTCACTTAGGACAGTTTAGGGGTCACTGAAAAGCAATTCATTGTGAAAGAGAGAGGCAGACTCCATTTCAGGAGTTCAGCAGTTAGCTGGACTGATGGGAATGCAGCTCGAATGAGGAGTCATGAACATTCAAATAGCCATATAAGAACAAACTTGGGAAGTAGTATTAGGAATTAGTAAGCAGATAAAAATTTGAGTGGAGACTCAAAAGTCATGCTGAAGAGCTGCGAAAGTGGTAAGGGCACTGGCTCCATGATAAGGAAAGCCATGAGGGTCTCAGAAGAAGCCTGTGAGGTTAATACTTCAGTGCAGTTGTGAAAATGCGGGGATTGAAGTTGGTACTGGTAGTTTGGTAAGGAGGGAAGTCTCATTCAGATGTTCAATTTAACCAAAAAGGTAGAGAGATTTTTTTCCTCATTTGCTAAAAACTTGAAGTGACCAAAGGATTGGCGCTACAAAGTAGTTAAAATGATGGATGTTTGTTCCAGACTTTTAGAAACACAATCCTCAGATCATGAGACAGTTAAAACTGTGGTACGTAATGTTTAAAGTTTACCAATTAAAACTTAGGACTGTAAAGACAATCTAATCTGATATGTGTTGAATTCACCAAAGAAAAATAAATGGTATGGGATCATTGGTTCTGTTAACTGAGGTTAGAGTGAACTTTTGAAAATGTACGGTACATCATAATTATGGAAGGATACAGGAATACTATTAACAATTAAATCCTATTTGGATGAGTGTCAATATACAAAGTAAAATAGGCAGCAGTTCTCTCAGATGTATATGATATTTCTCACAGGTAGTTGTTCATATTTGGCATACGGAAGCCAACAGGAGCTTGAGAAATAGATAAATAGAGGGTCATTTAATCTGTGGAATTCTTGATACCACGAGCAGTGCAGGCTGGTTCATTTAAAATATTTTCAAGATAAGTTAAAGTTTTGATCGACAGAAGAATCAAGGATTATTGGTGGAATGGTGGGAGGTGGAGGGGATACATTCTGCAAAGTGGAGTTGAGGTCACAAATCAGATCAGTCACAATATTAAGGGCTGAAGGCCTCAGACATGGGAACCAGTATATAAACAAGAACAATGCCAACATGCAAAATAAAGCAGCAGTGAGAGTAAAAAGCCAGAAAACAGAGAGGAAGAGATCAGTACAGCAGAAGAAAAAGACAACATCGAAAGTTAGGGGGCTCAGTGCAAAAAGAGGTAGAGAGACAGAGAGAGAGAGAGAAAAACGTACAAAAGCAAAGGGAGAAAATTTATTGTTAAACTAACAAAACAGTCGAGTAATCACCTTCGAGTGTATGCTGCAGCTCCAGAACCTGGTTTATTAGCCTTGTCTTCTCCTCCAGCTCCTCTTGATTTTCATAATCTGTGCCTTTGGAGGGAAAAAAAGCAATCATTTAAATCTAACATAAAATGTTGCAAGTGCCAAGAGACCCTTGTTTACAAAAATTCTCTTTAACTATGTTCTCTGGCGTATCATGATTAAACAAGACTACTGCATATTGAAGGTATCAGTAGGTACAGTAGAAATAGGAGCAGCAATTCAGCTTTCAAGACTAAGTAAAAATGGTGTTGGCCCCTTTACAGTTCATTATGAAATGTAGCCAGAGTTATGCCTGTGTTTATTAAAATTAGTGATGAGTGTTGCAATCGTAAAAGATATGAGAGTGTTAAATAATGATGCTCTCAGAGACCAAATGAACTGGC